GATCAAATATCTCTTAATTAAAGTTTTTCAGCAAACTGATACGCCTCACTATTTGACAATGAAGACAAACGTTAACTATTTTTAAAACCTGTATTAAGCACACTGAGAATCAGATGTTGAAGTACTAAACTGAATCTGTCATCTTTAAAGTCACTTTAACTCACCCTCAACAGCACTATGCTATAAGCCATCAAGTCAGAAACAAGAGTCTCAATTCACTCTTTTTTCTCCTTCTTGCTGAATCTTTTCAAATTTTCTCATTCTTCCATTCCACTTACATATTCAACAGCAGGCTAAGCTAAAGGCATTCTATGGGGCTCAAAAGACACAACGGCCTCTACAGTTAAACAACACAGAGAAAAATCAATTCCTGCTTTGATGCTAAGTTTAGAAGCCATGCAAAGGGAAAATGTCCATGTGTTTCTTTCTTTTCATTTCACCTTCATTCCTTTAGGCCTAAAATACATCTAGGTCTTGGATGTCTCATTTTTACTTCAGTGACTATTCATCTGACTATCAGAAAACTAATGGTTGAACTTAATTTATTCAACACCGTTTGCTGAATATTCAATGAATATTTAGTAGCTTCGCAAAACTGTTCGATTTTAAATCAGTCCTTTTAAGTGTTTCTGCATACTTGGTGTAAGAGACAAACTTTAAATAAATGCTTATTTCTCTCTAATGAAAAATGCCAGATACTTGGTATTTTAATACTGAGCTTTTAGGCCGATCACCAGAAATTCTCTAATCTCATGGAGGACGACCTTTCTGAGGGCCTGACTGTCCTCCACTCATCACCCTGCTTGGTGGGGTCTGACTTTTACTAACCAGCATGAGAAAGACAAGAAGTAATACTGCAGCACGTGCTGACGGGTGCCTTCCCAACCACCAATCTCCCTTTCTCCTTGCTCACTGAGTCACAGCTCTGTCCTCAGGGAAAGCTCTGTCCCTTCCTCGCTCGTCCCAGGGGTGAGCTTACGCAGGTGAAAGCACACGAGTGGTGGCTCGTTTCCCTCACAAGTGACAAGAGTTGAGACTGGGCATATGGTGAGATGATACCAGGCTGGTGCCAAAGTAATTGAGCTTTTTGCACTGTCGAAATGTGCCATTTGACACTGAAATCCATTCTTAAACAAATGCGGTTATGTTATACATCATTTAAATGCACATTTCTCGCTTTATGTTTTTTTGCTAATGACTTATTACTTGCTGTTTATATGTATTTTAGACCATGGAAATGATGTTAGACAAAAAGCAAAGTCAAGCAATTTTCTTATTCAAGTTCAAAATGGGTCATAAAGCAGCAGAGATAACTTGCAATATCAACAACGCTTTTGGCCCACATTTGTTAGGAACTGCTAACAGGCAGTGCAGTGGTGGTTCAGGAAGTTTTGCAAAAGAGACAAGAGCCTTGAAGATGCGGAGCATAGTGGCCAGCCATCAGAAGTTGACAACCACCAATTAAGAGCCATCACTGAAGCTGATCCTCTTACAACTACACAAGAAGCTGCCAAAAACTCAATGTCGATGGTGATCATTCAGCATTTGAAGCAAATTGGAAAGGTGAAAAAACTCAGTGAGTGGGTGCATCATGAGCTGACCACAAATCCAAACAATTGTCTTTTGAAGAGTCACCTTCTCTTATTCTATGCAACAATAAACCATTTCTTGATCAGATTGTGATGTGTGACAAAAAGTGGATTCTATATGACAATGAGCCTTGACCAGCTCAGTGGTTGGACACAGAAGCTCCAAAGCACTTCCCAAAGCCAAACTTGCACCAAAAAAAGGTCATGGTCTCTGCTTGGTGGTCTGCTGTTGGTCTGATGCACTAGAGATTTCTGAATTCCATTACATCTGAGAAGTATGCTCAGCAAATAGCTGAGACCTGCCAAAAACTGCAACACCTGCTGCTGGTGTTGGTCAACAGCAACAGCCCAATTCTTCTCTATGACAACGCCCAATCGCACATTGCACAACCAATGCTTCAAAAGTTGAACAAATTGGGCTACAATGTTTTACATCAGCCACTATATTCACTAGACCACTGACTAACCGACTACCACTTCTTCAAGCATCCTAACAACTTTTTGCAGGGAAAACACTTCCACAACCAGCAGGAGGCAGAAAATGCTTTCCGAGTTCATTACATCCCACCAAAGCATGGATTTTTATGTTACAGGAATAAAGTTTTCTCTCATGGCAAAAATGTGTTGATTCTTAATGCTTCTGATTTTGATAATAAAGATTTTTTTTTAAAGAGTCTAGTTACAATGATTTAAAATTCATGGTCTGAAACCACAATTACATTTGCAGCAACCTAATAACTGGAACCATAGGGAGTGTAAGAATAAAGAAACCCACTGAGGAGAGCAGAGTGGAAAGGTGGGAGAAACCCAGGTATTTGATGACACTGTCAAGCTTAAATTAACCAAACCTGGAACCATACCACCTCCATATGCCTGGTTATGTGAAATAATAAACTCTGATTGTTGAATGCACTTTTACTCGGGTTTTCTCTTATTCTAATGGCCAAGGCATCTGATACAGATGTTTATCAAAAATTGCATTTGAAAAGAAAATGAAGAAGGACAACCTAGAATAAAAGTCTGAAAAAACAAGTAATAACATGTCTTCAGTTCAAAAAAATCAGTTATACAATTACATTAAAAAAACTTAGTAAACTACTAGTTTAACAGTAACTCAAATAACAAAGATCGAGGTACTTTTTACAAGTGGACTAAAAGTAACCCAGCACTACAGCTTGGCTCAGGAAAATATTACAACCATGTCAAGTAGACCATGTTAGAACTAGAGGCTTAAGATCATGGTGGCAAAGTCATAAAAAGTTCAACACCAATAATCATATTTCTGAGATAAATTAGGCTTACAACGTTAAAAGCAACATTGCAAAACAGGAGATTACCCAAAGCGGTTTACCAGGAGGGTGAAAGATAAAGAGACTGTATGACCTGAGGACAGGCCAAAGGAATTATTAATACAAATGCACAGTCTGGAAGACAGAAGACTTAGAGAAGGCATGATGGCTACTTCCAAGGGTTCTCCTTGCAAGGGGGGACAGGACTTAGTTTCATCATGTCAGAGGAAGGCATTAGAAGAAATAGTGGGTTGATACTGAAGGTAGATTTGCTTTTAAGAAAGCAACTGTCTAACCAACAGAGCAATCAAAAAGCCAAGAGAGGCTTCCCCGGTGGTTCAGTGGTTAAGAAACCAATTTGCAACACAGGCAATACGAGTTCCCTCCCTGGTTGGGGAAGATCCCACCTGCCACAGAGCAACTAAGCCCCTCTGCCACAACTGTTGAGCCCACACACTGCAGCTACTGAAGTCCATGTGCCTGCAGCCCATGCTCTGCAATAAGAGAAGTCACTGCAATGAGAAGCTCGCACATCGCAAAGAAGAGTAAAGTAACCCCTGCCTGCTGCAACCAGAGAGAGCCTGTGTGCAGCCACCACAACAAAAAAATAAACAAAAGATGAATGAAAAGCAAAGCCAAATAAGTTATCACATAAGAGAATGAAATTCACTTTCACTGAGATGAAGTAAAGATGGAGTTGCAATCACAAAGAACATTCTACAACAGTATTTTTCAGAATTGTAGCAGTACACACACATCATTGGTTGTACAAGACATGATTTGAACTGGTACCTACATTTAATCTTATTATGTATTCATTTTACCAAACATGAAATAAATGTACATACTAAGTTAGCCATCAGTTCCATGGTTTCACAAATACATGCTGTTTTAGGATAAGTGAAATAACAATGTAAAGTTCATTTAAAGGAAAACATTAAATCAGTATCTCCGATTTAACATAACTGGATATATGACTTAATGATTTGTTAGATACAACCCTAGAATTTATATAGATAGGCAATACAAGGCCCAAAGAAAATTTTTGAGTGGAAAAATAATTTTAAAAAAGAAAGAAAAAACATTCAGTTAACTATAAGTAATACATGGAAATGGTAAAAATTATGAAGGTACCACAAAAATGACTGAATTCTGGACACGCTGCTTTGTGAGGATTCTTGCACTGAACATCCTAAAACTAAAGTTCCTCCTTTATCAAAGCTGTCTTAGTGTTCAGTGGTTCTATCAAAATACAATCATTCATAACTACATCTACTCAAAGATCCTTCTTCACAATAAAATGGAAGAACTGAAATCTTCTATTATTTTCATCACAATCTCAGAAATTATGATTTTTAAAAGCTAGAGCAATAAAAATGATGTTCAGAATCTTCACATAACTACTCTGTTATTACAAAAAACTAACACTCTTGATGTAATAAGCCTTTACTGAAGCCAGGAACTGTGGTGGACACAAATTTGAAAGTAAATTTGCAAGTATTCATTTGAAGGACCTACTGAGAAAATTTTTAAAACACACCCAAGGAGAAAATTTTTACTACCATGTTCAGTAAAAGTATATATGCATTTTAATATGACTGAAGACCAAACTACTTTCTATGCTACCCATACACACAGACAATATCTAGTACATGAATGAGATTTAGTTTTTAAACTTATTCGGTAAGCTCTGCTTTATACTCAGGATTTCATGCTCATGCTTAAATATATTCTGAAAATCCTTGGCGAAGCCCTAAAGGCAAGTCTTACAATGTCTGGGTGAAAAGTCCGCCTACTTCTATCTTAAGGCAGTGTATGGAGGCAAAGCCTTTCTAAAGCCTAAAGACAGTAATGGACCTCTGGAGGAAACAGTGCCACAGTAAACTTCCTACCAGGGGCGTTTTTACTGACTAATGAGAAGCCTGACCTTTTCTTCTTTTCCAGCTCCTTAGGCCAAGAGGTACTTGATGGCTGGATAATGAGATAACCAGTGACAACTAACATGTATAAGAAACACTAAAACTTAAACTTCTTGTCCCCTGAAGACATTTCCCCATGTGTCCACCCCCAAATGGATTTCAACCAAAGAAAAATAATCAGCCCAGAAAGACATCCTTCCTACCTCCTGACTGTGCTCCTTGAAGACCTGCAGCGGCCCCGTGGCCCTGGCGGTATCCCAGAGCTGCAAGGAGCCGTCGCCACTACAGGTGATCAGCACATGCTCATTGTTCTCACTCCAGGTCACATCAAACAAACCGTCATTCCAGTCAAAGCTACACCAGGAAAAGACAGACCAGAAAATCTAGTGACATAGGCCGCTGAACATACAATAACAATCTTTTCTGTTTTTTCCAGTTGATCACATATTTTAACACAGTATCTCACAATGTCTTCACAAATATGGGAGATTCGTACAGGAGGCACTTGATAGATGCCGAAACAAGTGCAGAGAACCTTAAAAGAACAGCCCAGTCACGAGGCCAGAGAACTGCACAGCAAATTAACATCAGGGCTTCCGACTAGAAATATGGCAGCGTTTACGTGAGAACACGCTGCCACACTTGGGAGCTCGCTGTGTTCTGCGGTTCAAAGGAGGGATCAGCAAGCACTTGAAAATATCACTTTAGATCAATAATTTCAGTGTTTCCCATAAATCTTTCACCTGAGGTATCAGCAGGTAGTTATTTTCTGAGGAAATTTCTTTTCCTTTCTCCCCCCTTGACTAACTCTGAGGGAGGTGTTAATGAGTCTAACAGTCACATAGGTAAGAAAAGTACAGAATGAAGAAAGGGAAAGAGGTAATAATTAGTTCCTGAATGAGTAAAGCTAACCTACACTAAGACACAAAGGTGACTTTGTGGTCCAGTGTTTAAGAATCCACCTTGCAATGCAGAGGATGCAGGTCTGGGAACTAAGATCCCACATGCCCTGGGCAACTAAGGCCACACACCACAGCAAAAGATTCCGCATGACACAACAAATATCCTGTGTGCCACAACTAAGACTCATGCAGCCAAATAAATAAATCAAAAAAAAAAAAAGACAGCAAAGATAGGAATGTCAGACAGGATACCAACTAGCTCACATTTTTGTATGTCTAAGTTTTATCATTGGTAAGTGAATACTGAACAAGAGATTTAGAAGTGACATAATCACAAGTTAATGGCAAAAATCAGTTCTACACTATGCAAATCCTGAAAGCTCTTTTATATTGCAAATTAAAACATCTTACTGATCACAAAGATTCAAAACCAAAAGGAACAGAAAATACATATAATTTTAACAGAACCATCTTACCTTCTAAAAAGCCTAAGCCCAGATTCATTTTGATCCAATATTAGCAGAGTTCCACTGCCTAAAGGAGAAAAAAAGTTGAGGTCAAGGCAAAGGGGTATCAAGAACCGAGAACAATACTAGTCACAAATTTCTCCCTAAAGTTTCTTGAGACCACATAAACAAAATGATCAGGACTGTGCTCTCCATTTCTCTCTACATTGTACTTCAATAATTAAATATTAAATTTACTATCTCACCGATGCCTGGATTCCAGACACAGCTCAACAGGGGAGAGAGATTTAAGAGCATCCTCTATGGCCAGGATGACATGCACACAAACCTCCCAAACATGTGTGATCATTCCTATTCACAGGTGAGAAAACTCAGGCTTATAGACACCAGGGACTGCACCTTCTACTATAATACATCACACTGCCTCCACAAAAAAACCTAAAATACATTGTGTGTGATTTTAAAACAAATACCTGGTGGATTTTACCGCATACTTGGCAGTAAAGTGCTGAACACAATATACCATTACCTACCAAAGAGGAATTATTTTACTGAAGGATCAGTGTATTTTAAAAAGATATTTGTTACACGGTTGGAAGAAAAAAAAAAAAAGCTCTATTCATACACGATTGACTTAAAAAAAAATCAACTGCTTTTAGAGAGATTTTTAAGGATTTAATTTAAAATATTACAAACTCACGAGTCTTCAATCTTAAAGGTGGGCAAGTATTGTAAATCTGAATTTGCAACCACTAAAAGTTAATCGTGAAAACATAAAAAGCAAATATTTCTCTCTTTCTGAGCTGCAGAAATCACTTTTCCAACTATGATTCTACCAAAAAAAAAAAAAACTATCGAGATCTGATATTATGCAATGAACTGTTTCATAGAATTTGTGTGTAAACAATAGCTAGGAAATGAATTAAAAGAAAGTCCAAAATCAAGAAAGGAATCCTTCCTTTCAACCAGAGACAATTAACTTGAGCCTCTAACTGCCTGTATATGTCTGTATTCCTCTCAAGACAACAAAGGACTCAGCGCTTGATGAATTTCTTGCTGGTTCTTGCGGGGAAACTCCTAGCGTCTGTTCATTGGAAGGACTGATGCTGAAGCTGAAGCTCCAATACTGTGGCCACCTGATGCGAAGAACTGACTCCTTGGAAAAGACCCTGATGCTGGGGAAGACTGAAGGCAGGAGGAGAAGGGGACGACAGAGAATGAGATAGTTGGATGGCATCACCGACTGGATGGACATGAGTTTGAGCAAGCTCCTGGAGCTGGGGATGGAGAGGGAGGCCTGGCGTGCGGCAGTCCATGGGGTTCGCAAAAAGTCGGACACAACTGAGCGACTGAACTGAACTGAACAGGGTGCATCCTTAGGACGCACAGCCTGTGGTGAATGTGGTCCGATTAGCCGGTACAGGGTGATCCTGCAGACCGTCTTCCAAGCGCTGTGGGTCCGGTCGGACCGGCAGGAGGAGCAACACAGGTTCAGCCAGCTCTCCGCAGAGCCACTTGTACCCGGCGGGGCGTGTGTCATGCGGGCGAAGGAACTGGTGCGCTTTTTAAGAGGAGGGACTACGGGCATTAGGCACCTTCCACATCCTGCTTCCGCACAGTAAGTGGAGAGGTGAGGCACTCTGGGCCAACTCCGCACACTGGACAAAAGCGGTCAGGAAGCCAGCCAACTCCTGGCTACCCCTGGCGTTCTTTCGCGGCTCCATCTACTGTCGGAAGTGATTTCCGACCACGGGGAGGAGCCGGAGCTTGGCTGGAACCCGCCCTCGCCCCGGAGGCTCGCCGCCACCCGGCCTCACCCGCGATGCCGTAGTGCTGCGAGGCGGCGCAGGCCAGTCGGCCCGGCAGGTACGGGGAGAACTCGGCGGCGTAGCCGTGGTGGCCGGGCACCCGCAGCGTCCGCACCCCTCCGCCAGGCGTCGCGCTCATCCCGCCCGCTGCCTCCGGCCCTCGTCGCTTTGGCCGCCGAAGCCGCTCCGAATGGGAAGCGGACCGTCCGGACTCGCTACGGGAGTTAGACTCTAGCAGCCAAGGCGGAAGTGAGGACACCGGGTGCCCTGAATGCTAGATTTCGATTGGTCCCCAAGGGAAAGGGAATTGACTCTGATGGAGGCCATACTTGTTTTGGGCAAAACAAACGCATGACGCCGGCTGTAATGAATTAAACCTGAAGGTAGTTTTTCAAGGATTAAGTGGTGATTCTGACACCTTTTGTTTTTACATCTCAGCCTCCACCGCGGGCTATCTGGCTCTTATTAGTTCGTTGATCTTTTGAAAAACTGGCATCAGGGAATGTGGTTGATAATTACAAAATGAGACAAGTTAGAGCAAAGTCTGAAACCATGCCGCGAGTCCGAAAGGCTACTGAGTGATTTGTTCCTCAGGGAAACTTAAGGCATAGTTAAATCCACGGGCGTGAAGCTCAGGAAAGAGACATCATTAGCAACTAACTTAAAAAAATTTTTTTAATTCTCATTATATTTATTGTATAGAATTAACTGCTCAGATGTTGGAGCTGATTAAGAAAAACTAAGGCTCATTCATCCATTCAAATATTTACCAGGCATACACCATATAGGGTTTCCCTTGTGGCTCAGCTGGTAAAGAATCCGCCTGCAATGCGGGAGACCTGGGTTCGATCCCTGGGTTGTGAAGATCCCCTGGAGAAAGGAAAGGTTACCCACTCCAGTATTCTGGCCTGGAGAATCCCCATGGACAAAGGAGCCTGGTGGGGTCGCAAAGAGTCAGACATAACTGAGCGACTGTCATTTCACATACCAATATAGTGTGCTAAGTTGCTTCAGTCATATCTGACTCTGCGACACTGTGAACTTTTGCCCACCAGGCTCTTCTGTCCATGGGATTCTCCAGTCAAGAATACTGGAGTGGGTTGCCATACCCTTCTGCAGAGGATCTTTCCGGGCCCAGGGATCGAACCTGTGGCTCCTGAATTGCAGGCAAATTCTTTACCGCTGAGCCACCGGGGAAGATCTATACCATATAGAGAGTGACCATATAGTACTTATCTGCCAATAAGCCCCTTTTGAGAGTGGAAGAGAGTGCAGTTAATAATTAAGCCAGGTCAACAAGTACAAACCTAGTCATATGGCCACTTTAAAATATACACCAAGTGCAATGCTAGGCACTGGGGATTCCAAAGCAAGAAGATACAGTCCCATGTCATTAGTTAAGTGTAACCAAAATACTGTACGTGCTATGAGAAATATATAGGGGCTTTTTTTTTTTATAAAACTAATTGTCAGTGTTGGAGGATGGGGAACAGGAGGAAAAGCTTCAGAAAACTAGTAATATTTGTGTAAATAATGATAAGTGCTAAGTTGCTTCAATCGTGCCCAACTCTGTGACACCATGGACTGTAGCCTGCCAGGTTCCGCTCTCCATGGGATTCTCCAGGCAAGAATATTGTAGTGGGTTGTCATTTCCTCCTCCAGGGGATCTTCCCGCCCCAGGAATCCAACCAGAGTCTCTTACATCTCCAGCATTCGCAGGCGGGTTGATGATAAGGTTTCCTTTAAATGGACAAGGAGATGGAGGTCATTACAGGAGCAGGAACAAGAAGAGACCTAAAATAGCATGATCTATAGGAGACTATAGCTGCCATGAATCAGCCTGGCCTCGTGGAAGGGGTATAGTGAAGAGTATTGGGTGGAGAGACTAGTGCTGTGTCATGAAGACTCTTGTGTGTCATACCAAGGGAATTTGACTAATATTGTAATTTAAACAATGGGTAACCATCGTTTCTTAAGCGAGAAATTAAATGACCAAGTTTCATTTTATAAGATCTTCTGGCAGCACAAAACTGGAGGACAGTGATTGGGGATAGGAAGGCCAGTTAAAAGACTTTAGCAATAGTTCCAGCAAAAGATAAGAATGTAAACAAAGATTATGCTAATGGGAGAGAGTTACATTCTACAATATTGTGAGATTTACTCCTAGGAGGGCAGCCAGGTTCTCATAGTAAATATCAAAAGGAAAAAACAAAACAAAACATCTTCTGCAGAAGGAGAAGAAAAGAAACCATTTTGAAATACGCCTTAATAAGACCTGCTCTCAGGGAAAACTAGTTAATTAGAGTCTAACCTACTAGGGTATTTTCCAAGCCTAGCTAACCTGAAAGTTCTCTTGTGCCCCTTTTCATTCAAAGCTACCCCTACCTCTAATCAACCACTGACCTGGTTTTCCTGTTAAGAACTGCCTGATATTCCAATGCTAGAAATGTATTACCAGTGAGTTTTTTAATTGATTATTTAAAGATTCCTCTTTTAAACACAAGTAGGCTACAGGACAAAAATTACTGAGGTTTGATTTCAATTCGCCCTTTAGTTTTCAGTAATAAACTTTGCCTAGATTCTTGTTTCTTCCTATGTAAAATGGAAAAGTTTCAACCGAATCAATCATTTCTACCTAGATGGTCTTGAAAACTATAACAGGGCTAGAGAAACTGATCTAAATATTTCAAAAACCAAACAGGAATTGTACATTTATAATTCAGCAGGAAAGGCCAGCCTGAAATTCTAATTTTCTTTGTTTTTAGGCTGGAATTATATGAATGCAGTGTGGTTACAGTCATTCTCTAATGTTGATATTAATTTCGGATTGACTGCTTATGAAATTATGATGTTTCTGGAGCTCAGGGAAGAAAAAAATGAAAACATTTACAGGTATTTAACGAGCTTCCCAGGTGGCGCTAGTGGTGAAGAACCTGCCTGCCAATTCAGGAGACATAAGAGACACGGGTTCTATCCCTGGGTAGGGAAGATCCCCTAGAGAAGGAAATGGCAACCCACTCCAGTATTCTTTCCTGAAAAATTTCATGGACAAAGGAGCCTGGCAGCACATAGGGTCACAAAGACTTGGACATGCCTGAAGCGACTTAGCACGCACCCGTAGGTATTAAACAGGTTGATCTCTAAGATTCTGAACAGCAAAGAGGACTGAGGTAAATAGAGTTGCTGTCCGTCGTGCCCACCTTATTGGAATAATTGAAAAATATAAATGATAGTTAGATAAAAACAATTGTATCAGTTCACGTCCCAAATTTGATGACTGTTCTATGGTTGTATAAAAGGATGCCCTTATTCTTAGGAAATACTTAAGTAGTAATAAGAGTTAAAGGAAATTATACATTGACATGAATCAGCCATGGATTTACATGTGTTCCCCATCCTGAAGTAATTAGCCTCCAACTAATAAAAACAAATAAAAAAAAAGAGTTAAAGGGAATTATAAAGGAATAACTCTTCAAATGGTGCAGGGAAAAAAATGAAGCATATCGACAGGCACAATAGGGAGAAAGATAAAACAAGTGTGGTTTAAGATGTTAAAAAATTGATAATCTGGGTAAAAGATATATGGGCATTTCATGTATTATTTTTGTGATTTTTCTATGTTTGAAATTACAATTAAAAGGGTTTCTTAAGGATGTGACTAAAGATTTTACTAATTCAGACTTTTCTGTGTCCAATGAGTTTAAATTAGCAAGAACTGGTTCTAATTTGTTAAGTACACCCTGGGGACCTGTGAAAAATTCCTTTACTAGCAGTGCCTACATAGTCCCAATAGGTGAATCATATGCCAGAAATGTCTGTGGTGTGACTTTTGACTGGGACTTCTGACTCCATAAATTTGAGGGCATATTTGAGAAGGACAGCAGAAGTTTCTTGCTGCTTAAGTCTAGAATGAAACAGAGCTAATGATGTGGAAATGTCAATGAGGAAATCCAGGTCAACTGTAATTCCCATCATGACTAAGTGGCATAAAGACTCAGAATATGATGACCTAGAGCTGACCTCAGGGAGAAATCACAGACTAAAATTGCTCATTTCTCAGATTCTTGGTAAGGTTGATTCAGCAACTCATAAATCTTACCATTTACAATTAACACAAACCTAGGTAACTACACACATTTCATTCTCTCAGGCAAATATGCAGTGTATTTGTTTACATATTCTTAAGAAAGATAAGATCAGGTAAAGAAACAGCTTGTGCTTGCTAGCGCTGTTGCTAAGTTATATCTGACTCTTTTCGACTCCCTGGACTGTAGCCCGCCAAGCTCTTCTGTCCATGGGATTTCCAGGCAAGAATACTGGAATGGGTTGCCATGCCCTCCTCCAGAGGAATCTTCCTGATCTAGGGATCAAACCCACATCTCCTGCATCTCCTGCATTGACAGAAAAATTCTTTACCCTTTAGCCACCTGGGCTTCAGCTTTTGTACCAAATACAAAAGGAATATACAAGATCATCTTAAATGTGAATATCAGACTTTGGAAATTTAGTATCTTCATTACCTGCCTTGGATTTCTTAGCTCAGGAAAATAGCGTATTCTTCAAACGTGATCCTTTTCTTTAACTGAGGAGTAGAAACAACACTGATTTACTTCAGAACTGTTCAAAAAGCCAGGCATGCTTTCATGTGAAAGAGGAATCTTAGATTTTTGTCTAGCATTCTTCTCATAGCCCCCAGGCTCTGTAACATTTTTTAAAGTACAGCATTATTCACAGTAAAAAAAAAAAAAGAGAGATGAATTCTCTACATTGTGAATCAATTCATTGCAAATAATGCTGAATACAAATTTTAGCGCAGATGTTGACAGTATGTTTTTAAGCAAATAATTTATCTCTTTGAGTCTCAGTTTCTTCATAAAATAGAACTTCTTGAGAAGGGCAAGCAGAGCAATGAGGGATCTGGAAGCCATGTGACTTAGAGATTTGTTAAGAGAACTGAGATACCACTACATACCTATGTGTATGTACACATAGGTGTGCTAAGTCGCTTCAGTTGTGTCTGACTCTTTGGGACCCCGTGGACTGTAACCCACCAGGCTCCTCTGTCTGTGGAATTCTCCAGGGAAGAATACTGGAGTGGGTTGCCATTTCCTTCTCCAGGGGATCTTCCTGACTCAGGGA